TTAATTTAAGAGTCAATCGATCATATGATCAATTATGATGTAATTAATTTAAAGTAAATAAGATATATAAGTAAAAGCGAAAAATAAAGAATAAGAATTCCAGAGAGTTTGGGGTGAATAAAGAAAGGAAAACCCAGAAAAGGACAGCAATACCTGCATAGTTGTTGTATTAAACTTGTCTTGGATCAGATTCGTTGGTCGCTTCCTACCAGAGTTGGATCGTAAGTGGTGCAAGTCATTTATTAACCCACGACACTATCTTCTGTCTTTACTATCTATATCTCTAATTCTTTTATATTAGAAATTTTTGAGAAAAAAGAAGTCACACATATACTTAAACAATATTTATTTACTAATACAACACAAAATATATTTAATTTTTATACTAATGACTCTATAATTGACATCAGTACAGACCAATATACAATAAGTATTTGATGGGTATAAGTTAATGATTCTAAATAAATAATTCACAAATTCTCAGCTAAAATCTATTACTAGCCATCTTCTTATAAAGCTGAACTAATGTCAATTCTTTCAGCTGTTTCAATCATCTCTCACAACTCAATAATCAATATCTTTACTGATTCTTAATCTATAATTACTAAATATTCAAAATATATACTATTCTTAAATCTTAACAAGCTTTTCAAATTTAGTTCATGGACTATATAACACACTTTGTTCAATATTATCAAATCTTATAACTATCAAATTAACTTTTACAAAGTACAAGCCCACTCCAATAACATCCTTAATAATTTAGCTGACTCACTAGCAAAACAACATAATTCTTATCTATATTATACTTTAACTATACAAGCATCTATAATTCATATCATATAATTTTTTAAAATCAATATTTTATTGAATATACACTAGAAGCTTCACCATAAATATCTGCAAAGCCTACATTCTAGCAATATGGTTTCTCAAAAACGTAACATAGAATGAGAAGTCTTGGTCTCTCAAATTGATTGAAGATCAACTTAGTTATTTTTTAACTATAACCAAAAACCAACTTATAATGTTACTAACTTTAAACTCAACCACCTTAAATCTTTTAAAATTAAAATTTTATTAAATGAATTCCCTATTTATTTTCACTTTTACAAAACTTACCTATATATATTTTATAATACTAACTGTTTTAACTATAATCTTGCCAATTCTCCAACTTATTAGTGTATATGCTCAAACCCATTACTTATCTTCAATATTATTCAAACTAGCATATCTAAATATATTAATCATACAGATCTTAATTTATCTATAAACCAACAAGAAGAACTTATTCATAAAATCAATAACTACTATGTCTTTTATTCTATACCTCTTCAAACCAATTAATACTATCTTGATATCATACTCAAAGGACTTATCCCTAAATCTCTAATTGTGATTGTACAAAACTTTAACATCTCATACAAACTAGTCTTACAAACAATTATTGCTAATCTACTTAAAGTTAATAAACTTTCTTACAAACAAATATGAAAACTATATTGTATAACTTTGCTAACTAAAAACAACAATAAGAACTTAAACTACCTTATGCCAGACCCTCATTTCAATTAAATCAAAATAACAAGAAAAACTCTAATCACAAAAATTATACTTATTCTTGTCTATATGGGCTATCTGACCAACTACATTCCAACTCTAATACCTGTCTACCTATTGGTTATGCTATCTGTAAAATCAATATCTAGACTATTCTTTAGATCAAATACAATATTTCTTATAACCATATTCTAAACTTACAAATCTAGGTGAGTCTTGATCACTCTAGTAGATTTAGGTCACAGATAAATATGTCTGAGCTTTTATTCTTGAATGTAGTTTTTCTTTTATTTGTACTTAAAGTAGCTATATAGTTAGCAGTTTAATAGTTTAGTCCTGACTGCAAGTGTTGGTTTTAGTCATAGCATTTGTATAAAAAATTACTTTTTGTACATAGCAGCTCCACATAGCTACTAATTTTTAAACTACTAATAAAGATACAAGCATGGCCTTACCTTAATACAAAAAAAAATTATTGTTTTAATTTTCTTTTTTAAATTTTGAAACATCCTTATATCTATATATGTATATATACATATAAATAATATTAGTGTGACATAAAATTTAATAAATAGTATTCTACACAGATATGTATATACTTATAATAATAGTATATAAAATATCTGCAATACATTTTTCTTATTTAAAGTTTTATATTTATATTATTTTTTAAAAATTTGATTACTATTACTAAAATTTGTTATTATTATACAAAATTATATATAATACAGGTTAATACAAACAAGATGAACATTTTAGTCTTAAAATACATTGTTTATTTGCATTGGTTTTTTTGCTATTCCAAGAAATCTCAGAAGCATTCAAAATTTTAAAGTTACAGATGCCTTCAGAGGCAAAAGATCTTGTTCAGCAGTTTGAAGAAACCTATGTTCTTGGTAAAGTTCACTCAACAATGGAAAATAACCATATATTTTGTACAGCTCCTCTCTTTTCACCACAATTGTGGTCAGTATTTGATTCTTTAGAAATTGGAATTCCAAGAACTTCAAATACTGTTGAGGGTTGGCATAATAGATGTGCAACATTGATTGGTAGACAACATGTAGGACTTTATACATTTATTCAGGAAATACAAAGAGAGCAACAACAAATTGAAGCCCAGATTGAACATATATTTCATGGTGAACAACATACTAAGCAAAAAAAACATTTGGCAGAGAAGGAAAAGAGAATTACAACTATTATTAATGATTTAAATAATTGCTCATTAATAGAATTCCTTACTAGAATTGCTCATAATCTCTCATTATAAGTTTTTTTTGATTAAAATTTTTGCATCTAATGAACAATATACAAATAAATATTTGAACAATATATGCTTAGATAATGCTATAAAAAAGATATATGCACAAATAAAAATAAAAACAAGACATTTAACTGCTATTCAAAAGTATAACGTATTTAACTGCCTATGGTGCTTCTTATTATAATAAGATAGCTGCATAACATGATAAATTTTTGACAAAACGAATGTTTGCTTGAATCTAATCATGTTATGTTATATATGATCTCAAAAATTTATTTGTCCTTCGGGAATCTGCACTACCATACATGTCCAATAGTGTGACAATTTATATATTTACTAAATGCAATACAGATTTATCAGGAAAGTGTTTGCGTGGATTTAGCATATAAGAATTATAACTTGTTTCGTTTCCATATCCACATAAGCCAGAAAAAAATAACCATTCTTCTCCTGATCCAATAAAACAGAAATTAAATAAGAAAACATCAAAAATTTCTAAATTTGTTAAATAAATTAATATTTTTGGTACGTATTAATATTAATATACTTTTACATATAGGTACCTACTATTTGCTACCATCATACCAGATTTTGTTAAATAAATATAGACTATTTTTGTCTCCATCCATTTCTTTGATCATTACTAACAATGTATTATCACCATTCAATCCAATTTTTAAAGACTACAAGTTCGGAGGGGTTAAATCCCAATTTAGTATATATTGCATATCAAACTTTCGAGTTATCAAGTCCCATTGCATAACTACAAAGGGCATGCTGAAGCCCATAAACAGCTTTCCTTTTTGGAAAATATGGCATGCCTGTGGATAAAATTTTTCGAGTTCAATACTATTATTGCAAGTCCATTTATGTTTTCCACCAGAATTTGATTTTGAAAAGATGTAGACTCGATAAACTGGTTTGGCTTTGACAATTACAAGTTCTCCATTTTCTAGAAAAGCAATATTAATATCATAATATCTTACAGTTCTTTCTTCTAAACCTTGCGCACTCAATATTTGTCTTAATTTAGTTGTGATGTCAATAATTGCTATTAATACAAACTTTATTAATATGAAATGTAATTAAACTTAACGATAACTTAATTTAAACTAACCAAAATTATTTTCAAAATCATCAATATCTAAATTTAATATGATATGTTTACAATCTGAGATTCTGCCTAAACACCAGCGTTCAAATAGACTTTCAAACTTAAACTCTGGGTTCTTACAAAACTCATCGGTGTTTAGTGCTCGTTCAAGATCATTAACGTTAAATGAACTGTCGTGTTCGACTATAAGATCTTTCATAAAGGTCTTTATAACTTAAGGTCACTATACATTCCATGTTTAGTGATACTACATATCCATCTATTTTTTTTTCTTCGTTTGGAACTTCATCTATCAAAATCTTAGTTTGTTCCTGATCTTCAGATTTTGATGAGCTCATTTTAGGTAATTGCGAATAATTCTTTTTTTAAATTTGATTCAATTCTAAAAAATTTACATAGCAATTATGAAAACAATTAAGCATGTTTATTCAATGTTTATTCAATAACAGTAAATATATTTATGCAACCTCTTGGCTTAAAAAATCTAAGCACTATCGCTATACAACAGATCCTCGATTGTAATCATAATCCACTGTATAAATAAATGCAAAACTCTATGAGATTATATAATAAAATTCATTAATGAAGTTTGTTTCGATAGCGATCGGTAGGTGATAATTGTCCGAAAAACCTCCCTAGTATACCCCTAAAAAAATGTTACGAAACTGAGTTTAAATTTTTTCCGAATAACAAAATCCTAAATTCAAAATTAGAAGTCTATAATCAGCATTTAATAATTTAGTAATTTTTTAGAATCGATTTTTTTTTAATATAAACCATAGCGTATGATGTTTAATTTCTAAGCTATGTAGTCCCATCTATAGTTGGCGGTAGAATTCATTTAACAAATTAATACGCTTACGGCGTGTGCCGTATTATTTTCCGTAATTTCTTTGAGCCGTAATGCCGTAACCGTAACGCCATAATGCCGTAACCGTAATGCCGTAATGCCGTAACCGTAATGCCGTAATGGTATAACTGTAATGCCGCTATGTCAAAGTACAATAATGATATTGTATCTAGATACCATAACGCTATTGTGTTAAAATAATATAATACTGCAATTAATGTTGTTAGACAAAACCTAAGGGTTTCATCATTGACGAAAGTCGAAACCTAGTTTCGTCTTTTGTTAAAAAAAAATTGAAATGACGAAACTGACGAAAGGTGACGAAATACGAAACTGACGAAAGGTGACGAAACTGATGAAAGATAATGAAACTGATTAAAGGTGATTTGCATTAGTTAGGTTTTATGTCCAATTTAATTTTATTTTTGTATTCTGGCATTGGGCATTAACTGCTCGATAGTTTAATTTATTATTCGATTGTGAGTTTGACTTTTAATTGAGTTAAATGA